ACCATGAAGACCATATGAGCCAGTTCTGAACTGTATGGTAGGTGCACCTATAATCCCAAGTCCGTCATTAGGTCGGCCACCCCAGTAGAATGTGGCGTTCTTGAATCAGGTCGACGATGGGGCTACCATATACTACGGTCTGCCACATAATTCAGTGTCTGAGGCAGGAATAAGAGCCATTCGTTATATGGAAGGAATGCTGCCTACACTTACTCAGCGCTATATACCAAGCAGTATTACCAACAAGGTACAACACGTTGACAGAATCCCATCAGGACGGTGGTACTTTGCCCTTGAGAAAAGTTTCTCGGAACCGTGAGAAAATTTTTTCCGGTTGTTGAGCATTTCTTCAACTTTCCCGTTTCATGTTCACTTCAACCTCACTCACTCCCACTGAGTTAGAAAGCTGGGAAAAAACGGCAGGATGTTGAGGAAGATCAGGAGGATGGTAGGGAACTGGGGTCGTACGAGATGGGTGGGGTTTGTTGGGGAGGGGCGGGGTCTTTCTGACACCACGCTGTACTCTGGTTACCAAAACCTGGAGAGAGGAGATGCCCAAGCCTTCATACTCTCTGACTTTCCCACGTGGCAGAGGCTCGTCACAATCAATGCTGAATAGTTTCTTCATTAGAGTAGAACACTATAGGGATGCGAATTATCGATTAGATTCGTCATGTACCTTTATGTTCATCAGTTCTGGTATAGGCAGCTATGTCTGGGGCTTGGTAGAAGGGCAAGTGCCCCGAGAAGCGTGGTATGGCAAGCGCGTTTGGTCGACCGTCGTCCGGTGTTGAGCTTCGCACCAATGACCATCTTGATCAGGGCACATCATTGGTTGGGGATTCCAGTCGACTCTGCGCGACCTCCACCCCTAAAAAGTGGCTCGGTACGACCCCCCTCTCCCCTCGTTCCCTCCTTTGCTCAAGCAAAAGCGGGAGAGGAAGGGATCTATGTCCATGTGAAACAGAAACGCGAAAAGAACAATCACTCCAGAAGGCTGAAGGCCTCCCTTTCCCAGATAGTCGCGCCCATAGCAGTCTCTGAACAAGAAAATCAACAAAAAAATCTCAAAAATTTTTTCTGACAAATACGCCCCCTCCTCCAGCGAGCAAACGACTTTTTTGGGCTGTGGGATCGCCAACGATGATGTGCCTTTGATCTTGATCCTTCGTGCTATCTGGCGCTGTGTCGCCACTCCTTGATTAGTCAGCGCGTCTCGAAGCATTAGCTCGCTTATAGCCTGACATTTATATTTGTTTGCGAATCCTGCCTTACTAAGCTCTGCAATACGTGGTGTAATGTCGAACAGGCCTTTAAGTTTTTCTAGCGCGTTTACAAGAAGTAAAGAGTTCGCTGCACCTTCACCTGCCACTGTTATGTGCGCCGTCACTCAATTCCTATTTGTCGTATCAGTGACGTAAGCCTGGGCACGCTTGCTACTTGGCACAACGCCTCCCCAATTTGGCTCAAAAATTACGAGCTGCCCCTTCTCATAGTGGATCTTGGTACAGTTTCCAATACGAGGGTCTTTGAGCTAGAAGTCTTCCTCTTTCGAACAGTCCTCTCCCTTCTTGCGTGGGATTACTGGTCAGAACGTTCCATGTCGTGTAATTGTTGTGGGAAATTCTGAGCCGCTCCCCCTTGGGAAATCCCCATGCTAATGCACCCTAGCACTTCCAGTTCGCTTAGATTGATTGCGAACTCAAATATTCTTCCTAAGCACATCCTTCCATCCATAAGTAGGAAGTTATCCATTTGATATCGATTGATCTCACTTCACTGTTGCGCCACACATTTGACCTCACCCCCACCCAGTGGTAAAGCGTAGGTGTGACTTCTACGTAATGTTTGCCCATTCAGTAAGATGGGTTCCTAAAGTCCTAGGGACCGATCCAAAAGTTTACTATGTTTCATTCGATCATTCTTCAGCGCTTCTGACCTCTGCGCTGACTACCCCTCCCTAACTAACGATGAATTACAACCTGCTCGTTGTGATCTCCACCCATGATATGCCCTGGTCCCAATCAGGGCAGATCATCGCCCAAAGGGAAATAGCATCATCCAGTACGACCCCTCCCCTTCCTTCCTCCCCAGTAAGGGTCTTGTTACAAACCCTAACATGGGGACTTTCATCTAGAAACCCTCTTTCCAACATCCCTAGCCCTTTTTGCTTAGGATTACTGGTTCGAAAATTCCGCGTTGTGAAATTGTTGGCACCGCACCTTAGCGCATCCAGTTCGTTGAAGGCCTAAATATGCTTCTGGAGCACATGTTTCCGTTGATAAGTAGGGACTAACTCACTCGACGTTGATTGATGTCTGTCCTCTATTGCGCCACGCATTTAACTCCTACACCAAGATGATGCCAAGGTGTGACTGCTTCATAAAGTTTGCCCGTGCAGGGAGATGTGTGTGTTACTAGGGTCCTAGGGACCGGTCCAAAGTTTACTATCTTTCTTTCGATCATTGCTCATGCTATCTGACCTCTGCATTACTACACCTCCCTATCTAACGATGAATTACAACCTGCTCGTTATGATTTCCACCAGTGATATGCCCTGGTACCAATGGCATACATAAACTTGTCAAACAAAGGAACTCATTGGCTGTCCCTCCTTCTGTCCCTCTCAACCTCTTCCTTATGCAAGAGCAAAGCAGTTTTCCTCAGCACTCATTTGGTCGCGCTTTCTTGGGCCTAGAGCATATTGCGGATCAGCTGACGCCTAATCTTGACCCTTAGTTTTTTCACTGGAAATGACGTCGTTGGCCAAATGCGTCCGTATAATCCACTGCCTCATACATGCGCTGATTTTGTCGGTAATGAATGCTATTTTGAGATGCATCGCGTCCTAACGATTTCCTAGAAAATTCCCTTATAAGCTTGATTTACTGTGCTAGGCCTCCTATTGATTTATCCTTACAGAAAAGTAGTCCACTCGACTCGTCTCGTTCCATAACACCTGTACAAATTATTGTGATTTTTCATAACAGGTTATTCTGTTTTTTACACTATACTTCTCTACAAACAAAAATATTTTGTCTGTGACGTATTGCTTCTCTCGGGAGCTGACGTGGTACAAATTATGCCGCAGTGTACAGCCCATATGAAGAATGACGTTATGGTGAGTGTGGTGTGACGAGAGCTGTGCCCATCTTCAAAAGAGACACAGAGTGCAGTTTTCGCCTTCCAGCTTCTCGCTAGCATATCTTTTAGGGAACGCTACACACATTTACAGAATTTTAGTTGTTTTATAATTAGTATCTCTTGCTTATGGTTACCGCAAAAAGCTTACGAATCACTAGGCGCGGCGTGAGGTGATCAATCGATATTGGGAGTCACGTTGCGTCGCGTCGTGCCGAATCTATAGGTTTCCTGATAACCGATTCCATAAGCTTGCACAGTTGTCTTCCTGTATAAAATTTGTAATACTTGCTTAGTACCATTTCTTTCTCGACTTTGGCTTCACACTGAATGGCCGTAATCCTCTGAGACCCTCAGTTCATAGATGGAGTTCTAACCATTACTAAATATGCCAGTACCAGTAGATAAGAGCTTTGTGTGAGTTTTTAAAGCGATGACAAAAACCGGGACACTTCTGCTGTTGGAGCAAATTTTTGCAGATTGCGCCCCGCCCCCCTTTAGAACGTAATCCTGTGGCAGGACCTTCCCCCTCCTCCCCATCTCTTATACCACCTAGCATTTTCCTGGAATCTCCCACCTCTTACCGCTCTTCCGGGAAACATCTGTAGTTTTCCCCAAAAAACTGCCGTCGAGTTGGAGGGGGGGGTATATAGCGTACTCGAATCAGGGAAAGCCGAGAAAATTCACCAACCGAAAACTTTCCTTGAAGGTGAACACGAGCCCCCCTCGCCTCCCTCCCTCCAGCGACCAAATACGACCCCTCCCCTCCTCGCTGGGATCCCCAATGTACACCGTGCCCTGATGAGAACTTATGGAAGGGGTTATCGTAGGTTTGAGGTTTGCTGTCGATCATAACCCCCCTTGTCCACCCCGTATCGTCTCTTATCATTCCACACATCTCATTGCTTTCGATTCGGCCCCGATTTCGTTACACGTGCACTAGATTGCATCAATATATGGTAATCGAATTAACTATATAGTAACCAGTTTGTTTTTCTAACTGTACACCCACACTGTTATTTATTGAATACATTACCATTCAAACGGTAGTAAAATATGGAACATCTGGTTGTTTTTCCACACTTTTGAGTTTCCTATTTCATAGGTCGCGTCGCAGTTCAACCAATGACGTCATTCTCGCCTTGTTCATTTTTTTAGCATTCTAATATATTTATTTTTTCAGATAAAGGTTGCACATTATGGTGCAAACCTATCAATCACCCGTTAGGGTATATAAACACCCTTTTGAATTAGTTATAGCGGTGAGTGAATTTTGTTATTTTACTCATTGTGTATTGTTTGCTATTTTGTGGGGTGATAATAATAAAATCTGGGTGAGAGTCAACCACTGATTTCCAGTAGATCAGATTTGCATTCAAAATGTCGGTGACCTACCGATCAATACTGGCTGGAGCACTGTACTAGATAGGTTCCTTTGCCAAGCACAAAGCTTGAAATTTTTGCACATTATTGTATTTAGGCAACTTTTTATTCTACTATTGTGCTCTACTAGTATCCCATGAAAAATCGCAGATTTTTAGATCGATATACGTTTGTACGATATGTATATTAAGTTTTTTCGCCTTGAGGAGTATTTGATTGCATGTGTATCGTTTATTATTGAGCAAATTAAACGATTCGTTGGTCATTTTGGACACCTAAAGCTTGAAATGTGTATCGATTGGGTTTTTAGTGGAGATAATTTTTTACGTTGATCTAAGGGGCACCCTCATCTAGGGAACGACGCACTGCCGTGTTAGGAATTTTGAGTAATACGTTCTAGGAGTATTAGTATTTTCCGCCTATTTCCATTCATAAATCAGTAATGGAACATAGAGGATAAGGATGAAGCCTTCGCCGTCGATCAACCTTCTTGGAATGCGCCACGCATTCTACTCCCAGTCAAAACTGTAGTGGCTGAGCGATCTGTCATGTACAATGACGCGGGGGCTGGCCGATGTAAAAGTATATGTTTCATCTTCCCAAACAAATCTGTTACCAATTCACCGCCGTCCCCGAAGGATTGAAGGCTTGCTTGGCCGAGGGAGAACTGATCCAGGATTTGACCCTCGATGGAAGTAGAATAGATAATAAAATATGGATTTTTTGATTTTATGTTACAATTACGATAGCTTATGTTATCACGGTGAAGAGTAAATTTTTACTTGGTGAATGTTCAGCGGGGGATTTTTTTGAAGAAGTAGTCTAGTTCCCTTCTCACAGACGTTTGTAGAGGGAACTAGACGTTGAGGTAGGATAGGTTGGATAACACGACATATGACGACAGAGTTTTTCAAAAGCTAAAGTGCAGGATCTAATGTGCATTAGCGAGCAGAAATATTTGGGCTTAATTTTCTATTAAGTGCATTTTTTTATTTTTCAGGCATATGAGAAGCGTTTCCCGACGTGTCCTCAAATTCCGATATTTGTTGGCTCAGAAATCACGTATGAGTATCATAGCGAAGATGGTGCTGAATGGGTGGTTGAAAGAAAATGTCAGCTGAACGTCGACGCACCATATTTGGTCAAAAAAGTCAGTGATTCCAATCAATAATGCAAAATTGATTTTGACCCTGTTCCAGTAAGGTGGTCCAGTAGCGATTATGAGTCAGGGGATAAGGATTTCCGCTCAGACCCAGAAGTGAGAGGGAGAAAAAGCCCTGGGCAGCTAACCAACTCTTGCTGCAAAATGGGCGCCAATCATGGTACATATTGTGCATTTGGTGCAATGGTTCGTCAGGCTACAGTAGTCGCGGTTTTACACAAGGGGTCATTCAAAGCTGTGAGCTTCTTTCCCTGCCGTTTTCTCTTTTTTCGTGTTGGACGGCATTCATTGCTGAAAGGCACTGAGAGACGATTATGAGTTCGTGGGCGGATTCCGCTAAGGTCTAGGGCCTAACCGTTCGTAATAAAAGAAAAATGGGTGCTGTTGTGCTAAGGGGGGGGGGCATTCTGCACTTTCATACCGCTCTTGCGAGGCCCGTAGACTCTTGCTGAGTGTGAACGAAGCCCATGCTTCTGCATGGCTTTACAAAAGTGCACAGGACTTCGCATGAGGCATGGGCAATGATCGATGAAAACCAGCAGGACGCCCCCACCAAGCCGAACTGCAGTGGTTTTATATGCATTTATAGTAATGCCCACTGTATTACACTAACGCCCAGAATGGGTTTTCTGATTACGATAATCATAATTTCGTGAGTCAACGTCATTCGGGAGGGCCACTCTTCGAAGGTACGGCGACTTAGTCATCTGCGACCTCTCACGAAGTTAGTGATCCCTTCCTTCCCCCGAATTCCAGACTCAGAAGAACGTGAACAACTAGAGATGCTGCGGCGCATTGTCATTCTGTAGTCCCTCCGACCAGGGTACAGCATCGTGATGTGTGAGGTGGTGGTGTAGGATACGACCCTCCCCAAATGAGGGTCTCGGTACGACCCCCCCCCCCCCACACCAACACCTACC